AAGAAAAGAAACTTGAAGTAATTGACCTTAAGAAAGATGAAATACCTAAAACTGAAAAACCCAAAGGCTTTTTCGGTGGTCTTTATGAGACGGCTGCGAAACTTGGTGATCAAATAGAAAATGCTCTTACATTTGATAAAGACAAACATGATAATCATGAGAAAGCAGAAGCTCTCATTATCGTTGAAGAAGCAACCACTCCTGAAAAATGCAAAGAAATCGTCTCGGGTCAAAAAGATGATGGTTGTATTGAATTGGGTGATTCAGTTTGTAATGAACTAGATGCTCCCAAAGAAGAAATCATTACAACAATTCAAAAGAAAGTTAAAAATGATAAACTTAAATCACCCGAGCATTCAACAAGTCTTGCAACTGCAATTAATCTTGCATATCTTAAGAAAGCTGCACCCCATCACGAAGGTTTATGGAGAGATAAATATAATAAAGCCCGTGAATATCTTTCTAAACAAATAGGAGATAAAAATGCTGAAGAGGAATTAATAAAATGTGCCGATGATTACGTAGTTGAAAATTGCACAAAGAAAGTGATTAAAGATAAAAAGAGAAATGCAGTAGTTACTGTGCAAAATTCGACTACACCAGAAAAATGTAACGATGCAGTTTCTAAACAAAATGATGACGGATCTTTTGAAATTAGTGAGACGATTTGTGAAGATATAGACGTTCCCATTACAGAAGTCGTAACTACAGTAAAGAAAGATACACAAAATGAGAAACTTAAATCACCCGAATCCGAGCCGTGGTGGAAAACAGCACTTGCTCTTAGTTACCTTAAAGTCGCTGCACCACATCACGAAAATCTATGGAAAGATAAATACAATAAAGCTCGCGAATATCTTTCTAAACAAATTGGAAATCCTGCAGCAGAACAAGAACTATTAGATTGCACTGATAAATACGTAGTTGACAACGCCACTAAGAAGGTCGAGAAAGATCATAAGAAAGCCGCTGCACTTCCTCTTATTCAAGATGCAGCTTCTCCCGATAAATGTAAAGAAATCGTATCTAAACAAAAAGATGATGGCAGCATTGAATTGGATGATTCAGTGTGTAAAGAATTAGATACTCCTAAGGAAAATATTATTACCACAATTCAAAAGAACATTACTAATAAAAAACTTCAATTACCTCAACTTCCTTCATTAATTCCAACTGCTATTAATATCTCATATCTTAAAAATCTTGCACCTCACCATGAAGATGTATGGAAAGACAAGTATGATAAAGCCCGTGAATATCTTTCAACCCAAATTGGGGATAAAGATGCTGAGAATGAATTATTAGAATGCGCTGATAAATATGTTGTTGATAAAGCAACGGGCAAAGTAATTGAGGAAAAGAAACGGGATGTAGTTGATCTTAAGAAAGATGAAATACCAATATCCGAAAAACCTCAAGACAAAAGCCTTCTCAGTACTATTCCTGAAACAATTTCTAATACGGCTAGTGGGGTTATTGATACAATTAAGAACATCCTTCCAACTGGAATTGGTAAGAAAGAACCAGGACAGGAAGGCGAGCATGTGAAAGGAAGAAGCGCTTTTGGAGAGACCAAGATAGAGGATGAACCTGATAAGAAAGGCGATCATAAGAAAGCCTTTGCGCCTCCGGGTCTTTCCAAAGACCGCAAAGCAGATGTTCTTGCTTCACTTCAGGACGCAGCTTCTCCTGATCACTGTAAAGATATTGTATCTAAACAAAAGGACGATGGTTCTATTGAATTGAATGACACAGTATGTAATGAATTAGATGTACCTAAAGAAGAAATTATCACCTCGATCAAAAAGGACATTAAAAATGAGAAGCTTCAATTACCCGAACTCCCATCATTACTTTCAACTGCTGTTAATCTCTCATATCTTCAAAATCTCGCACCTAAACATAAAGGACATTGGGAAGATCATTATAATAAAGGTCGTGAATATATCTCTAAAAAAGTAGGTGATGCTGATGCCGAAAAAGAATTATTAGATTGCACCGATAAATATGTAGTCGATAAAGCAACGGACAATGTGCTTGACAACAAAATTCAGCATTATAAGACAACTCAGTCTCTTATCCTCCCTAAACATATCGAAGATATTATTTGTGATGACAAAGAACCAGATCAAACTGAAAAGGAAGCTGCATTTAACACTACTAAGGAATCTGTTACTCCTGAGGTCTGTGAAGGTATTACTTCTACAGCGAATGATGATGGTCAAATTGAATTAAATGAAACATTATGCAAAGAACTTGATCTTCCAAAAGAGGAAATTATTACTACAGTTCAGAATAACATTCCTAATGAAAAACTTAAATCACCCGATTTGCTTTCAACTGCTGTTATTCTTTCTTATCTTAAAAATGCCGCACCTAAACATGAAGGTCAATGGAAGGATAAATATAATAAAGCTCGTGAATATCTCTCGAAGAAAATAGGAGATCCTAATGCTGAGAAAGAACTTTTGGATTTCACAGACAATTATGTAGTTGACAATTGCGCCAAAAAAGCCATTAAGGATAAAAAGAGATCTGCTGTTGTACATATTCAATCATCAACAACTCCCGATAAACATGAAGCAGCAGTATCTAAACAAAAAGATGATGGATCCTTTGAATTGGATGATACTATTTGTAAAGAATTAGAAGTCCCTGTGGAAAACATTGTGACTGGAGTCAAATCGTGCACTAATAACAAGAAATTACAAACTCCGGAGTCAGAACCATGGTGGAAGACAGCACTTACTATGAGTTATCTTAAAGTTGCCGCACCTCATTATGAAAATCAATGGAAAGATAAATATAACAAAGCTCGCGAGTATTTATCTAAACAAATTGGTGATCCAAATGTTGAAGAAGAACTATTAAATTGTACTAATAAATATGTGGTTGACCGAGCACACGACAAAGCTATCAAATACGATATTCAAGAACCTATTCATGTTACAAAACTTGATTTCACTGATGAAACTTATCAACAAGTTCTTGAAGGCTTACGTACCTTCGTCGATGCTAATGCTGCTCGTATAATTTGCAAATCTCAGAATGAAGACGGTTCCTTTACCCTAAATCCTTTAATTACCGAACATCTCGATATAAAACCAGAAGAATTTATTAAATCTCTCAAGAAGTACGTTGGTAATCTTAAACTTAGAGGATGTGATGATTCTGTTTGGAATACTGCTTTTACGATCTTTTATTTAAAGAATGTATTAAAAGGCCATGAAAATGAATGGCGTGATGCTTATGATCGTGCTAGTAAATGGTTATCTAAAAAGATCGATGACCCGACATTGGAAAGGGAACTATTTTCTGCGTGTAAACAATACTTAGTTGAACAAGGTAGCAAGCGCCTTTATTCAAAACAGATCCAAGATACGGAAAAAATAAGAATCTTGAGACTTAATGTTGATGACGAAACACGTAAAATAGTTTTAGATGATTTACGTACTAATGGCACGGAAGAACTTGCTCGTACACTTTGTTCTGCACAAGAAAGCAATGGTTCATATTCTCCAGACGCTTTAGCCACTTTACGCCCATTAATTCCTTCGCCAGAAAGTGCTGTTGAGCATCTTAAACGTTATGTTGGTAGTATAAAACTTAGAAATAGCCCTGATTCAATTTGGCATACAGCCTTTGTAACTTATTACCTTAAAAATATTTTGGGAGACCATGAGAAAGAATGGCGCCATTCCCATGACCGCGCCAGAGCCTTGATAACTGATCAGGTTGATGATGCTGAAGCAGAAAAGGAATTATACTCCGCTTGTGAACAATATTTGCTTCAACAAGGTATTGACCTCATTAACAGTCGAGGTGGAATCCAAGAAGAGGATGAAGAACAGGTCGATGTTGTTGTTCTTCAAGTTAGCGATGAAACACGTAAAGCCATTCATAAAAGTCTTCGTGAGGATGTCAATGAGGAAGTCACTCGCACAATTTGTAACTCTCAAGAACCAAACGGTTCACACACCTTACATAAATCAATTTCTGACCACCTTAAAATCCCTTCAATCGATAATGCCGTTGAGTCACTCAAGCGTTATGTAGGAAGTTCATTCTTGAGAAACTGTGATCCTTCTTTATGGAATACAGCTTTAACAACCACATATTTAAGAACTGTATGTGATAACTATGAACAAGAATGGCGACCTACCTGTGATCGTGCAGCAGCGTGGATTACCGAACAATGTAAAAACCCTGAAGCAGAAAAAGAATTGTACTCTGCATGTGACCAATATTTAATTAAACAGGGTATCGATGTCCTTAATGAAAAAAATAGACAACCACGCATTACTAAAAGACGATCAGTAGTTAAAGGAGAGACTATTCAAGTTATTACACTTAAGGCAGATGATGAAACTCGCAATGCTGTGTATGAATTCCTTCGTTCCCAAACTAGCCCAGATCACCCTCGTACGATTCTCACTTCTCAAGAAAATGAAGGATCATTCACCCTTCACGATTTAATTTCTGATCACCTTCAGATTCCAGCAGGTCCTGTTGGTGAACCTATTAAACGATATGTTCGCAGTCCAGTTCTAAGAGGATGTAATGCCTCCGTCTGGAATACCGCGTTTACGATTACATACTTGAATATCGTATTGAATAAATATGATTCCGAGTGGCGACCTTCATGTGAACGCGCTGTAAAATGGGTAGCCGAACAAGTAAAAGATCCCGAATTAGAAAAAGAATTGTACTCTGCATGCGAGCAGTACTTGTTTGAATTAGGTTTTGAACTTATGAATAATTCCGGTAAAGCCCAAACATCCAAGTCTGTCGATTCTTCTTATATAATCCCCACTCGCTACGGATCTGATGGCGGAATACTTTCACCTAAAGATGCATACCTCAATTCAGAATTAATTGTTGTTGGAGCCGCATGCACAGCTAACCGCAAACTCAAACAGAGTTGCACTGAGGCTGGACAAAAGATTGATAAAGCTCAGGCGCGAGAAAGAATTATAGTATTTGTGGAAGAGGAGGTCAGCAACTTATTTACCAATAATGTTACTCATAGTAATAAGGAAGATGTGTTGCAACGCGCTAAACGCGCTGCTCATTTCTTGATTGACCAATATTTTGATGAATATTCTGATGAATATTATATAATTCCCATTCGTTATGGTTCTGATGGTGGAATAACTTCAACCATTAATATAGAAAATTCTGATAACCGTAAAACTATTGACATGGGTAAGATTGAGCTAGCATATATTATTTTATATAATTTATCCGGAAATTAGTTATGAAAAAATGTCACATTTTGCTTTATAATTTTGAACAGATAAAAGATACGTAACTCAAAAATACGCCTTTACACCTAAAGGTAAATAAAATATTTTTATTCATCTTGGATTCAAAGATTTGATTATTGTTTTGATTAATTTATTTATTTCTAGATTTGCTGGAGTTAATGAAAAAACAAAACAACTAAAATTCTATTTAAGCCTTATTGTGATATTACTAAAAAATAAACGTTGCGAGTTTGCTAGTAGAAATATTTGGGAGTTTAATACCCGAGCCTTGCCTAAACTTTCTAATTTATTTATATAAAAAATTTTTCATTAGTACTAAACTACATCTGTGGTGCATTATAAAAAAAAGTATACTACAAAAAATACATAATGGATGTAAATATTATATGCGATATTATAAAAAAGAAATTTTTAATAATATTAATTTATTTATAAATATTAAAAAGTAATAATAAATTCTGTAATCTTATGTTACAGTAAAAATCTTGCATTAGAATTTGCTAAAAATGACGGATGAACTTATTAATCAATGAAAAAGAATATCCTTTAATAAGCAGAAAATGTGCAGCTAGCAATTCAAATAACTGAGGGAGTATTATATATCCACAATGAGCTTAATATCGCACTTCTTGACTTGGTATTATAAGAAAATAATAATTTTATTAGCCAGAATATTACTAAAATGAAGTATATCTTATTAACATACAAATATTCTCATATATAAAGGTAACATTAAAATAGTAAACTTTGGTCTATCCAAATTTTTTGACAGCATAATAAAAACAAATAAAAATATGTGGGATTCTCTATTTGTTGACCCTCAAAAATTTAAATTAAATATTATAAGTAAAATAAAGAAATCAGATATATATAACCTTGGCGTGCTCTTTTGAAATTCATTTAGATTATTGGTCTTTCTCATAGATCTTCACACATATTTACAATCACTTCATTTAGTTGAAATTCCAAACAAATATATCCTGACCGTTGGGAAGCAAATCTTACTAGTTGCCTAGAATTATATGATATTCTTAATCATTTGACAACGATAAGGCTAATCTTAACTTTTGAAAATAGTCTACAAAATTCTAATTACTTGATTACAACCAAGTTAAATGATTAAAAATAATGCAGACCTAAAGCTTAAAGAAACTATCCTTACAAAGGAAAAAAAAGTTATTGAGAACAATTCAACATATGAGATTTTTTTTAGGTTAAATTTTAGGCATTATATTAGCAATTTAAAGATATTATTGATGTTCTCGTAAAGTTAAAATTTATTCATAAATTGTTAGAATGATATTAACAGTTCGATATGAAATATTATAAGTTAGGATTAAAGGAAGATCAGAAAATTGCTTTAAATAGTTTTACAGAAATAGATTAAGGGCTTTAAGTCAATCCGTCAGAACGGTCTGAGAGTAGTAAAAAAATATTTTAACGAATTAATTATATTAATTATTCCAATGAATAAACATGTAATACGTCAGAGAGAAAAATTTAATGATCGTTTAACTGATCAAGGATATATATCATTCTAATTAACAAGAAATGGAGGCCCTAGTATCCGTTTTTTTCATAGAGTTGTGCTAATTGGCTGTAAATTTTTATCGATTAATTAGAAAATTTAATTGTCCAGTACCTCTCTTTTTTTTTTGTATAATCATTATGGATCTTCAAAGTCGTTACTAGCGCCAACGAATTGATGGATCAAACCTTTTTCTATCAAAAAATGATCGGATTTACAAAAAATTACGTAGACTTTCTAATAAACCAAGTGGGAATAAAGATATTGACACATTTTTCAAGATACAATATCTATCAAAAAACATTGCGACGATTTTATTGAGTGGATACCCTTTACGGATATTGAAATAAAGCATATTCCGATTAGAAAAGGGGATTTTTCGGAAATATTTATTGGAAAATGGAAGCCATTGAAACAAGATGAAGCTGTCGAAAATAAGGAATTAATAAATATTGATATTGTCCTCAAAGTTTTTAAGGGATCTGAAAATTTTCTTAAAGAAGTAATTATAAGCATCAATAATTCAATTACACTTTATCATTTATAAGTAAGCAATAATAAATTAGTACTCCTTTAAATCGCTGTTATAGTTCAAAATAAATTATCAAATTATTCAACTTCTTGGAGAATATGCTGTACCTTTCTATGGTTTAATGATATATCCAGAAACGAATGAATATGCGATGGTTATGAAACATGCAATTCATGTTATCTCAGGAAATTTATTAATAGGTCTAAACTCACATGGCCAAAGAGAGTAGAGATTCTTTCTAAAATTGCGAAATCTTTAAATGCACTTCACGAAAATATTTATCATCAAGTATTTATATTATTTATTATAAACTAAAATTACGGTTATTACTAAATCAATTAATTTTTCATAGAAATAGAAGAAGGCATTATTGGGGTTTGCCTCATATTGCACCAGAAGTTTTCAGCATATAAGAAACTCGTATCCGATAGATTCCGACACGAATTATTTATATAGTCAATTAAAAATTTGTTATACGGTTGTAGTCTAAAAACCGGCAATTTCACTGTTTGCTTACCCACAGTAAGTTAAACTAAAGGTACCCACATTTATTAATAAAATTTCTTCGTTTTGAGTGTTTCTAGTAGAAATCTTTCTAATCGCTTTCAATCGCTTTCCCCAAAGAGTTTTCATAAGAATAAAGGTAGGCGCTTTGTAATTGGCAAAGTTTACTGAGTTTCTACGCGTTTAAATTATAAAGTTAAATATTAGATTTATAAATTGATAAACCGCGAATATTATACTAATATAAGATTTTACGCTTTTATTAAATAGACTAAGCAATATAAAGCGTTTAACAAGGCTTATTTTACCTGAATAAAGGCATATATATGTATTATTTATCAAACAAAAAGGAAACCACGAACCCTAATATGTAGTAAACACGGTGGTGTGATCTAACTATTAGTATAGACTAAGGGTAATAATATATAACATGTTTTTTAATGATTATAAATCGAAAAGTTTCGCTTTTGTTAATAATAATAGTTATTTCGCGTATCGAAAGAATTTTTTAATTGATTTAATTGGTCAATAATCATGCTTTGATCTACATAAATTAGCCAATTACATAGTTGTTATAACCCGTGATTTCCGTAAAAATACGAGCTTCTTACCGTTACATGCTGAAGTTTTCTATGACAAAAAGTATACAAAAAAATCACACATCTATAGTTTATGTGGGAATTACATCTTCTGAGAGACCATTTTCAGACCAGCCCCATGATTATGATTTAGCTATAAAAATCGTTACTAAGAACCTTCGACCAGAAATCGTAAAGGGGATTCCAGAAACCTATATAAATATAATGAAACAATGTTGGATGCAAATCTATCAAAAAAGCCGGACTTATCGCGTTTAATACAAGAATACGCGAAAATGATCAATGATCTAGAGTATTTAAACCCTTCTTACATTACGCCAAGATCTAAACTACAAAATGGTAATTAATCGTTTAGATATCGATAAAGTTAAATTCAAACACGTTAATTTATTTCGTAAATAATTTTCAATTAAATAGATTCCGAATCAAACGATTAAAATATGGTGTAGTTTTAATTTTAATGATCAAAAAATCTTACAACAGGAAGCAAAACAATACATATAATTTAGCTATATCTCTGTCCTTTAAATTGTCTTACTATTATAATTATGTCTGAAATATGCTGCAATATATTGCAATCTGATTGATCTGTTACAGATCACTTACGACTATTTGCAAGCAAATTTGCCTGAGAGACGGTTTAAAGGATTCAAAGGATGGTCAGATTTCAAAAAAATATATTAATTTGGTTCGTAAAAAAAATTTCAATTAAATAGTTTCCAATCCAATCAACATACCTATCTTTGAATATGGTAAATTTTAATTTTTAAGTTCAAAAAATATGTAGTTTATTTTATAAGAATTTCATTAAATAGGCTTTAAATTTAATGACTTTAAAATACATCCCTCTAATAGTATAAATTTCCAAGTATATATTCTTTATTTGTCTTATAAGTTGTTAAATTCTAAACCCAGGTGATTCAAAAAGGTAGCTTCAAGAAAGAGGAGGAACCTGAAAAAGAACCTGAAAAGAGAAGTGAGCTTGAGAAAAGCACACTTAAATAATTTTTCTGAAAATGAGTTATCAATTTTGCTTTACAATTTAAATAGATAGAAGATATGTAACTCAAATATACTCCATAAAACTTGAAGGTAAATACCTTATTTCGATTTATTTTGATTATACCCATGCTTCGTTAAATATAAATTTATACTAACAATAAAAATTCCTTTTAAACTTTAATTTTAATTAACTAATTAAGAATCTTTTCTCCTTGAATATAGTTATTTATTGATTATCAAAAATCTGCAGAGAGGGGGGATGCTAAAGGAGCATTTATGCTTGGTAACTGTTATTGTGGAGTATTAGGAGTTGAAAAAGATGAATATAAGGCATTCTTGATGTTCACGTTTGTATTTGTTTTTTTTTTTCATATATTTTTTATTTTAATTTTTTTTTTAAATTTACTATCAAAAATCTGCAGAGATGGAAGACGCTGATGGGACATTTGCTGCTATTTGGAAGGAACCGGTATCAAAAAGGATGGAAAAAAAGCATTTGAATATTTTAAAAAATCAACAGAGATGGATAACGTTAGTGGAATATTAAATACTGGATATTGTTATTTGAAAGGAATTGAAGTCGTGAAAAGAAAGCATTTGAATATTTTAAAAAATCTGCACAGCTACAGGAATTTTACAAGTTGGGGACTGTTATCGAAATAAAATCGGTGTGCCAAGAGACATGCAAAAAGCTAATTATTGGTATCGAATGGAAAGAGATATAAAAAGGACAAGCAAATTATCATATGAGAACATTGATGATAATTTGAAAATATATTAAACGATGAAAAGTATCAACTATCATAGATTCTTTATAATAAATTTAAGAATGTAAAGGAGATAGGAAAAGGTGGATTTTCAACCAATATAAATAGAAAATTTTGGACTCTTATTGCACTTAAATTGATTCGTGATTTAAACAAATGTTATCGAGAATTTGTCGATGAGGTAATATTAATGCAACCAAGAATTTTTATTAAAGTTTTTTTATCTAATTTAATTATAGTTGAAAAGACATTGTGAGATCAGATACGGAAATCCATCATTTAAGATTTATAGGATATCAAGAGACAATGCCTCTAAAAATTATATTATCGGGTTGCAATATGCGAATAAAGGCTCATTGCGCGAAATCTTTATGAGGTAGAACAAATGAAATGGAAAGATAAATAGAATCTTTTGTATTGCATCGCTTCAGACCTTGAAGCAATTCATTCCCAGGAATTTATTCATCGGGATTTACATTCTGGAAATATTTTACAAGATTATTTACACAGTGCATACATTACGGATCTGGGACTTTCGATATCGTCTGACATAAGACAGGAAGGAGAAATTAATGGTGTCTTGCCATATGTAGCTCCTGAAGTTCTGAAAGGTCATAGTGGAGTCATCATGTCTGAAATATCAACTGGAAGAAGTGCGTTCGATGGTGAACGGGGAAAAAGGCAAGAATTTGAGAAAGAGGGAACACCTGATTGTTACGTTAAATTGACCGAGAGATGCATGGATGGAGATCAGAATAAGCGGCCCATGGCAACTATTGTTGTTAACAAAATTGGACATTGGTTTGACGAGATTAATCAAGACGATGATAACAAAATCAAGAAACAATTCTTAGAAGCCGATAAAATAATTAAACCTATTATCAAATCATTGAAACATTCGAAAGACATGTACACCAGCAAAATAATCAACACAGAAGAGACAGCAAAAAGATGATCAAACTTTTAAAAAATTCCTAACGATTTATCCCTTAAACCGTTTGAAAATCATGCCAAATTTGGACTGAAATTTACTATAAAATACTTCTGATCTATATTTTAAAAATTAAATATATTTAAATAAAAATTATTTAAAATAAGGATTATATTATAGTAGTATTTAATTTTATATTATAAGAAAAAAAGTTTGGGTTGCTTATAAGCTAAAAA